TGCCTGGCAACGTCGTGCAGGTCTGCAGAAACGGTCTGGTGGCGAAATTAGTGATGCGGTGAGCTTCTAACTGGTGAATAGTCAGCCTGTCATGTTAGCTGTCTGCCATCTCGGTCTAGGTTCTGAACACGATCATCAATTTCTATCTAGCATCTGCGTCTGTCTGCAACTCGAAGAATATTGCCGAAGGTTTGCGTTGGAAGGTGAACTCACTAAACCAGGTTTGAACCTGTGACCGTTACTATTACTGTAATTCAGTGGTTCACCCAAAGCCTCATTTCATCATTTACCAACACACTCCCACTCTGGCAGCCCCATCTGCGGGGAATGGGCTGCCCTCGCCACTAAGGGCTCCCCACTTTGAGGGGAGCGCGAGCCTCTAAATTCCATTATTTTGCCATTATAACTGCGGGCACGGTTAGAATTAAATAATGCTACATGACTAAAACTGAGTATTTGTCAAGGCGTCAAGTAAGTGGAAAATATTACAAGTATCCACCAAAGCGACATTTGCTCCTGTTCATAAAGCACACAAGAGTGATTCAGTTTGGTTGAATTCACTTTGCTTGTTTTTTAACACCTTTCATAAATGACACAACCCTAATAACGGACAAAAAATTATACCACGATTTACTATCCTTAAAGTTAATATCAATTCTTCAAATTCTATCAAAAACTTCTAAAGTTATACAAAAAATGAATTAAATCGCCTAATTTTATAGTGTAGAAATAAATTATGATCAGCCATTATAAATTCCAAGTATTAGATGCTTATGACGAAGCTATTTTCAATTATAAAATGTTTGTTTCGGCAAAATATTTCTTTATCTAAAGATTATTTTCAAGAATTTCATCTCAAGCATAGTTGATAACATTCCATCCTTAGAGTTTATTTTGTTAGTGCTTATCTCATAATTGTATCTATTTTATGTATCTTGCAATTTATACACAAAGATGATAAACTAAAATTACACATTAAAGATTAGTCAAAACAAAACTTATCCAAAAAATACTTGATGCATCTTACAAATTCTAGATTTATGAAATATATCATATCATGAAATCAACTTTGGTCTACAACATCCGAAAGTGCAGCCTTCAGTTTATAAACTCTCGATGATCCATTTGTAACACTTGTATTTTTTGTAATGTTGATGAAAACCAATGTAAAAACTACAATCTAGATTGTATCATGCAAATGAAAATGGCAAATCATTTTACTTCATGAATGACCAGAGAGTAAAACAGCGAAATCATTGGTTCAAGCATCCATCAACCAAAGATTTGACTAAATGGAAATATAACTCTCATACAAATGTGTAAATTAACGTGATTAACATACACATTATATACCTTGTCTATGGTCAAATGACTTCTTGCCGCTTTAGTATGTTCCTAATCAGACTTGTTTTTGCATATTCATCATCCCTCTTCCCCATATCTCTCTTAATTCTTGCATATCAGTGCAAGAAACAAAAAGTGCAACATCAGATTTTGCTATCATCTTCTTTTTCATTTTGTTCGTCCACAAGTGAGTTGGTCTGAATTTCATCAATGATTTCTTCTGTTGTTTTCATCCTACTTCTGCTTCATCTCTTTCATTAGTTCATTGTATGCTCTATAAACCTATCAGCACATGACATGCATACAAACAATCCGAACATTGTATCAAGGTTCAAGGTAATAGTTGATCCGGTCAGCGAGTAGAAACGGCAGAATTGAATATGACGATCCGTTTCCGAAATGCGTTGAAAGAGTCCGAAACTGTAAATTAATTTCCAATCTGAGATCTCCTAGTCTCAACGATTGAAGTTTCTGACTGAGGTTACACTGACTACATGCTGAAGGACCGAGCCTATACCCGTAGCCTTCAACCGAACATTTCATGACAATGATGGAAATTCACGGGCCTTCCATCCGTTACAATGTAACGAATCGTAACGTAATGTTACAGTTACATTACGTTACGATTACACGTTACGGTTACGTAAATTTACGATTCGCTATCATTCAAACTGGTGCAAAATTAAACTCGAGCTCACTAGTGATACGTTAGACCCTTGATAGTGCAACAAAAAATTTTGCTAAACTTAATCATGGTTTTAGTGATCTAATGGTAGATTAGTCTTAAGTTGTTATACTGTTATAAAATAATTCTCACCCAAACGTCTTCTTTCCGTCACAAAGCCGATTGCAAGCCGATTGCAATCTCTAAAAAAGGGATTCGTTTGAGCTCCAATAAATCAACTCGAACCAGTCTCTCATTCCAAGGTGCAGAATTCGGAGCCATCTGGGTAGAGATCTAGGGACTTTTTGCCACTTCAATTGCAAGATTGAATGCTCTACGTCGATGGCAAGACGTACAGTTGAGAGGGAAAAATCCACTCATGCCATTACAGCTTTATCCGTCTATGATGTTGAGTTCAACATGGATGCGTATGGAAAATCATGAGTTCTTCAAATCACTTTGAAGAGCTCGTCTGATACTCTGAATCAAGTTCCTTTGGGCTCCTGCTTTTATTTGGAGTTAGATCTGGCAAAACTGTAGATTGCAGAATGCAGTAGAACTCACGGTCACTTTTCATTATTTATTGTATCCATTGATACAATTTTTCCAGTATCCGTCATTTAGAAAGAAAAGTTTGGAACGTAAATAACAAACAATGATATGAGGTCAATACCTTCCAGGAAAGATCGATGTGCATCTTTTGATGATCATCAGTTCAGAACATCTTTGTGTACGCCTAAGATGAAGCCAGAAGGTACGCCTACGATGGTGGATACGTTCGTCCTCAAACAACTCGAGCATCTCTTGATAATCCAAGTCCCCTATGGCCACACCCTTCTAGAATCTCTGGACTGGTTTCGCATTTGCTGCCAAATGTAAGCTTACAATCGTATGTTTCCAAGCAAGAAATATTTTTCTTTCTTCAAGCCACAACCTCATGATCTTGAACTTTTGTTGGAATCTCTATTGAGATGTTTGGATGTATCCAATAATAAAGCTTTTTGTTATCGAAAATGCAATCCTTTATTTTAGATCCTTTACTTTTTAAACTCTTTTTGATCTTCAACAAGGTTTTCCTTTACGCTGGACTCAAGCATTAATCAAGAGCAAGTAATTAGTGCTTGATTAGACGTCAGCTGAATGCAGACTTTTTCCTCCTACGAAAGATACCTTTATGGGATATAGTTCACAGGCGCTAGAAATCCCGTGTTGCTCCGTCTATTACCGACTGAATACAGCTCAGCGACATGGGAGTGAAAGGTTATTGAAGAGAATTCAGATTGACTTTACTGAAAACGATTCCAGTCGAAACTGAGTTTCAAAAATTGCTGGTGGTTTGAAACAGACTTAAAAGTCAATGGTTAATGCTGTACAGCTCTAATGTCAAAAAGACATTGTTTTGCTCTGCTTTTACTGTGAGCCGACGGTTTTTTACAAAGGAAGAGATTAGTAAATATTTTACTTTTTTTTGCAAAGAGTAAGTATTAGAATCACATAAATTAGGACAATTGAAGGGAAGAAGGTAGCAGAAGAGAAGAAGGCTCAACGTGCGGACACCTGCATCTGGCAAAGGCTAACGTGGCCAAGAAGCGCAACGTCCATGGACCTACCGGCAGGGAGGCGGGCAGAATCTTGTTTTGTTTGTGCTGGCGCCACCGTTTGGGAGAATCACTGGCAGCTCCGAGACGCCCGCTCATGCTTTCACCGTGATGCCAAGTCTCATCTTCCCCTCTGGGTCCAGAGGTCGTGCTTCGAGGATGGCGATGAAGGCTAAACCCAAAGAAGTACGTTTCACGTTGCATGTGTGCGAGGGCGAGATTGTTGTGAGAGGTCTGAAACTTTTTCCCCGAAATTGGGATAAGGACGAGGGAGTGGAAGGGTTGGTGATATTTGTCGTTTTGGGACCCTTGTGTTTTCAAGAAAGTTCAAGAAGTCGGACATGCATGACGCAGGTTTGTGAGTGAGAATTGGTTTGATATGTGTAGCTGGAGGGACCAGGGACGTAGGCTTCAAGCAAGAAAGCAAGGAGGAAAAGGTCGCAACGGCAGTTGATGCTATGGAAGAAAAATGCGACCCTGCCTCGGTACCAGACGTAAAAAGAAAGGTTTCTAGTAGTACAACAAAATCAAATCTCTCTTCTGATAGGAAGGCCATGAATGTAGAGGAGTAAAAGATGAAGTTTGTGGGCATTTACAATTGCTAGAACAAATATTTCATTGGGGCAGGTACTCAAGTCCTTCTGTTTGCGGATCAATTTTAAAACGCAAAGGCCATAGTGGTCTCATTTAGAGGAACAGACCCTTTCAACACGCTAGACTGGAGCACTGATATTGATTTCTCATGGTTTGAGCCGGAAGACGCGGGAAGAATGCATGCCAGATTTTGGGAAGCACTTGGTCTCGGAGACCATGAGAAGATTTGAGAGTTATCGAGTGGCACAAATCTAGCTCCACTAAAAGAGAAACACAGCGTGGAATGAGGTAGGCATGGAATATTCCGCCAGCTGAGAAGACTCCGCCGATCAAATGCCACTCATGCCCAATTTAGAGGTTGGAAGGTACTCCTACTCTTTCCAAGAAGAGAAAAGGCGGAGAGAGGTTACGGGAGACTGCTCACGTCGGATGATCGCAAGCAAACATTCAGGCACGCTTTCCCTCCGCTGCGCAGAGAGAAAAGTGATCGCTGCTCGGTCGCCCGGCTCACGCTGTGCGTTCCGCCTCATCTCCCGGGACTTCTCTCGCTTCCGCGGAGGAGCTAATGCCAGAGACTCCGCGCTCCGAGTGGACGTGCCTTCCACATCATCCACGCGGTCTTCTGCGAGAGCACCAGCTTTGGATGAGCTGATAGCTCTGGATAACGCTTTCAAGCTCAACAGTCAAGTCTTGGTATAAAACGAGGTGACTTCGACACAAGCAAGGACGGATTTGTGAGTGAGAGTGCATTTGCTTGAATGATAGAAAAGTTTCTGGAAAAGCAACTGCAATTTCAAAACGTGGACAGAGAGCAGCTTGAAGGCATCCTGATCAATTTAGATGTGTGTTTCAGGCTCGAAGATACTTCTCAGTATCTTCGAGCTTGAAACACAAATCTAAATTGATTAGCATGATTCTTCTCAGTATTTCATTCTTTCTTTCATCCCTGAGCATACAAGCAAGGAAGAACAAAAGCTTCAAGAAGGGGCGCACGTGGAGTCGACGTATTCGGAAAATAAGTGTGAAACTTCACAATTTGTCTGCATTCGGATTCAATGCCAAGATTGAAGAACAATGTCACTTACTGCTGCCTTTTTTCCACGGTGCCAGGTGATTTTGGATCATGATTTCATATACAATGTAGAAATATTGGATACCTCAATTTGTGATTGCCATTTGCTTCTGAGGAAAGAAAACTTACTATGTATTTACTCTAACAAATTAGTCGAATGTCCAACTCAATATTTATGAGTTTTCTATGATTGTAGATGTTCATGAGACGCAAGTTGGTATCCAAGATGCATGTTTCCAACGACATTCTGACCTGCTCTGGACCAAATATCAAGTTCTACTTGAAGAGCATCAGATATATATCAAGCACGCTCAGAGAGAATAATCTCACAGATACGTAGATGTTCTGATATTATGCTCAAGTCATAAGTCAAGGGAGGTGGCTACTAAATATATGATGAACCATATCGTCAAGGAGTGGATATCATTTTGCTCATCATCCAAAGGCTGTTCCGGGGTGGCATTAGTGTTCGGTGCGATCAAAAATTTTGCATGGAGATGCTGATTCCGAGTCATCTCAGAGGAGCCATTCTGATCAAGAAGCTGAAATTGGATTTCATTTGTAGCATCGATGACAAACTTGAGTAAATGCTGTTGGAAAGGTCGCACTTGGTGGAGAACGAAGAGTTGTTAACTATGAGCACTTTTGGCCCCGATTGAAAGCCACGCCGGCGGAATATTTGAACGAGCTAGGGCTTTGTTGTGGGAGAGCAATGTGGAAGCGGTTGTGAATGAGATTGACAGAAACGAATTCAACAAGTGGATTCATTGCAGGAAGGTCCAATTAGCGTGGACAATGATTTGGCTGAGTCGAAACCAGAAGGTGAGAACATGGCTAGCATCACGAATTTATCATCTACATCGATTATCCACAAGTGTGGAAAATTCTTCGATTAGATATTTTTGTTCAATATCCATCAAAATGTTGATGGTATCGGTGATAGATTGAGATCAGTGGAGGTGATCATTTCATTGTGATCAGCATGATTGCCATCATTTTACCAAATTTTTCTCATCTCATGGATCAAGAAAGATAGGTGGAGATTGGACATGAAGATGAGACAGGCACTCTTGCTGCAGCAATAACTGTAGTCAACGTTGAGTGATTTTATGTTTAAAGTGAGCGTGATCATTCATATACTTACTCGTTTCAGCAGGCTAGATCGCCCAAGCAATCTTAAGTTACGAACAATGTTGGTCTATCTATATGATGAGTGCATCTGTGTTTCTTTGACTAGATTTTACATTGGATTTTTTTTTATCTTGGACAGTGTGAAATTCAGTCACGTACTCACAATACTTTTTGATCTTTGACAGCGTTAAATCCTGTCACAGAATCACACATAGAGTGGAATCAAATGATTTTTCCGTTATGCAGATGTGCGCTTATCTTATAGAAAAGTCCAACATAGTTCGTATCCTAAGGTCGCTTAGGCATTTTGGCCGGCTGAAGCGAATGAGAATATTCAATAATACTGTACACTTTAGACCTGAAATCATTCAGATTGCACTACAGTTGTTGTAGCAAGAGAGATACCTCCAACATCTGTGCGCCTTTTGCTGACTATTCTTCCTGTAACTTGGAGTGTTCATTCGACACAGAGATAAAGCTTGGAGAAACTTGGTGACATGGGATAACATCAGCACGAGTCATTGAAGACTCAGTCCCACTACTCACAGGGTACTTCCTTTGCACACTTCCACCTTGTTCCACCAGAAGAGTGGAGTCAAAGCTTCTACAAGAAAGTTCAATTCAAAAGTGAGAATGCCATTATGCATATTTCAAGCATATGTATAGATTTTCTTGCAATATACAACTCAGAAAACTGTTGGTTGCAGTTTTCACAAGAAGAAGTCTTTTAGAATCTTTGCCATCATGTCAATCGCACAGTTATGTTTCTGAAGAAGATCTGTGTTCTGTTAAACTATCAAGATGACTTTTTGAGGTATACTGTTCATATTGTCTGGTTGCAAGTCTCACCATGATGAAAACCCTTCCCTTGACACGTGAGTGTTGTCACGTTGAACTTCCACACATTTTCCTGATTGTTCTTCTGTTGTTGCACGAGTTGAACTTCCACACATTTTCCTGATTGTTCTTCTGTTGTTGCACGATGAAGGTCATACGAATGTATGATGGACCGGAATTAAAATTACGAGGTGTTGTCATTTTAAACTAGTATCCGTGTTTAAACAAGATAGCAATCTAAATACAAAGAAAATACTTCTCCTAGATTTCATGCACAATATCCGATCTGTGAAACCTCAGAAATTTGTAGCTCATGTGAATCTGCTTCTGGCGCTTCTTTGTATGACCAGAAGATTTCACAAGATTCTTTAGGAAGCCTAACTCCATTTCGAATGCATCTTAACGGTAAAACAAAACTTGCGCACAAATCTCTCTCCTATAACATATTGTTGACGTGCTATCAGAGTTTTTTGTTCCGTATTATTCGTGCTTCACCCTGATAAAATGCATTTTCATAGCCGGGATCTCAGCACATTTTAAATCGCCAGCACGCTCAAAACGGTCACGTGTATAATTGTCGTAGGACGAATGCTTTAGCAACTGGACTGCGTGTGAAAGTTCAGTTATAGAGGCTCTTTACAAATGGCCAGTTCACATATGTTTGTTTGCGCCACAGTGAGAGGCTCAAGTTCGATCATGAAGGTGTATCTCGCTGGGGGTTTATGCCCAGGATTTTCCTGGACCGGAATTTGCCCATTGACATGTGAACAAGTTCAAATCCTGCCCTCCCTCTCTTAAGACTCCTGCTAGCAAGGGACGGAATGTGATGTTTCCCCTATCAGCACTCACTTCCTACCTCGCAACCTTGCAACTTTGATGCAGCCTGGGCATGTGACTCTCATCGAGATATACCTTTATCCTAGGCATAATCCTGGGCATACTAATGCATAATCCAACAGCACATGCCAGGCACATCTCTTGTGAACTCGCTGCTTCTGCGCGGACGGTCGATTAGTCCAAGATTATGTCAAATCCTTCAAGATGATTTTTCTGGATGGTTGCAGGAAACTGAGAAGGACATTCTGAACTACCTTCACTAGGACTTAGAGGTCTCTCTTCGTACTAAGGAGAGGTTTCTCTGCCACTATCTCTATACATGCCACAAGAGGCCGGGTTTCTGTAACCCGTGTGAAACATGCAATATTCTCATCTACCATTCCCGATGTCATTGTGCAGCCGCCAAGGCTGAAAGAACCCAACGCGTTAAAGTTGTAAGGTTGTTAACAAAACTCTGGCTGAATTCTGGAACCAAAAGTTTGTGATTGGAAAAATTAAGAGCAAAATGAGCGAGCAGGAATGACTACATTCCTTACGTACGACCTGCTGATAGTTCGTCCCTTGAAAGCGAAAAAATAATGAGTCGAGTGATATCATCAAACTTCAATGTTTGATTTTGAGTCGTGGATTGTCGAGATTCCACCACTCACACCTCAGACTTAGCAGTACAAAAAACCGTAACGGTTCAAGTCGTTTGGAGTGATTTCGTTCAGTAGATTTGGAAAAAAAAACGTTGAGCTACTGCACCATTAATCTTAAGAAAGAAGATGAATGAGAAGATATCTAAACGCAGCCCAACTGGACTCTGGCAGTTCATAAATTAACACTACGTTCGCTTATGTTCTCACAACAGACAATTAAAATAGTAGAAAATTGCAGCCCAGTCAGGACTTGTACCCCCAGCTCATATCAATGTTTGGAAAGATCTGGTAATGAGCTTCTGGGCTATTAACATGAAAGACTTGATGACTGAGTTCATGAGGATAACAAACTCCCGCAACACTTGACTGTAGCATCTCTATGAAATTAGAGTATGATCGGGAATATTCTTTAAAAAAAAGCTCCCGAAACATGCTTTAATTCCTCAAATAGTGACTGTAAAAGTGTTTACCAGCTACATACACTCCCCACACATCAAATGATACCCTCTTAACTGTATGCAGTCTGTAAGTTACTCCTTACAGGACAAACTTTTAAAATAAGCCTCTTCTATTAATAAACTTCATTTGTGGTCTCTTGACTCTGATACCACTAACAGAAAGAGAGATCATGTGCATCCAAAGTTTCCATCTGCTCTGACATGACTCGCTGAGTTGATGCGATGAATGCTGTTCTTAGCTATCAATTTACTTTCCGTCACACACCAAATTGCGTATATCAAAAACTGGTGAGTCGAACTAACTTCCTTCTTCTTTGTCTGAAGTAGAAGATTTTAGGTGTTATAGTCGTTTGGTCATGTATGTATTATTGAAATTTCTAAATTCTCATTCATTCGCGACGAGTTGCTACCCAACACCGAATGAACTTTTTTGTATCTTATTAAAAATCTGGTATCTTAGCCGTCACAAGTGTCTACAATATGTCGCTGAGCACGACCGTCTCTTTGTGGCAGCCGTCTTAACTGTTGGTGTACTAATGGGGTTGCCAGGATGCGTTTCCACCTTCTTCAAATAATTGAGGTGTCTTAGACTGAAAGAGTGAAACTCAGATAAATGATATCTCTCTTTCAAGTATTGTTCATCATTAGTTCGTGCTGTATTTCATGGAAGGAAACACATGGAAACGCATTATTTATGGGTACAGGTGTAAACTCTTCATACTCATGCTCATAATACTCTTGCATTCAAATTCTGGGCCATTCACAACACTAGACATGAAGACCGACTACAAGAAAATATGTATGTATGGTATAGCTGTATAGCTGGACTGTAACAGTGCATGCTTTACACACAACTCACAGAACCCTCACAGATAATAATGCTGCCTAGGCAAGACATGAACCCGTAACACAAATCGCTGTTTCAAAGGCTCAAGCATTGAGCTACTGAAAAATTTACATCAGGGAAT